TAAATGACATCTCCTCATAAACCACTAAGCCAATTTCATCCAAACTTCACAGGAATGTTCCTTTGGTGGTCACCTTTAAAAATTGTTCAAAGAATTTAATTCCATGCAGAACTCTGGTTGCAATGGCAACCGAAAGAAAAAACTTTAAATATCTTCTTTTAAAAAACCATAAGAGCTAGAGCTTAGATATTTAGCATGAAACATCTTCTAGTGAGTGTCTACCAAGTTTGTTCAAATAAAAGCCCTGGGGTCAAAATTGGCCCCGCCCCGGGGGGTCATTGATTTTCCCCATATACATATAGTAAAAACTTAAAAAATCTTCTTTTAAAGAACCAAAAGAGCTAGAGCTGAGATATTTAGCATGAAACATGTTCTAATGGGTGTCTACCAAGTTTGTTCAAATAAAAGCCCTGGGGTCAAAATTGGCCCCGCCCCAGGGGGTCATTGATTTTCCCTATATGCATATAGTAAAAACTTAAAAAATCTACTTTTAAAGAACACAAAGAGCTATGGTTAAGATATTTAGCATCAAACATGTTCTAATAGGTGTCTACCTAGTTTGTTTAAATAAAAGCCCTGGGGTCAAAATTGGCCACGCCCCAGGGGGGTCATTGATTTTCCCTATATTCATATAGTAAAAACTTAAAAAATCTTCTTTTAAAGAACCAAAAGAGTTAAAGCTAAGATATTTAGCATGAAACATGTTCTAATAAGTGTCTACCAAGTTTCTTCAAATAAAAGCCCTTGGGTCAAAATTGGCCCCGCCCCGGGGGGGTCATTGATTTTCCCTATATACATATAGTAAAAACTTAAAAAATCTTCTTTTAAAAAACCATAAGAGCTAGAGCTTAGATATTTGGCATGAAACATCTTCTAGTGAGTGTCTACCAAGTTTGTTCAAATAAAAGCCCTGGGGTCAAAATTGGCCCCGCCCCGGGGGGTCATTGATTTTCCCTATATACATATAGTAAAAACTTAAAAAATCTTCTTTTAAAGAACCAAAAGAGCTAGAGCTAAGATATCTAGCATGAAACATGTTCTAATGGGTGTCTACCAAGTTTCTTCAAATGAAAGCCCTGGGGTCAAAATTGGCCCTGCCCCGGGGGGTCATTGATTTTCCCAATATGCATATAGTAAAAACTTAAAAATCTTCTTTTAAAGAACCAAAAGAGCTAGAGCTAAGATTTTTAGCATGAAACATGTTCTAATAAGTGTCTACCAAGTTTGTTCAAATAAAAGCCCTGGGGTCAAAATTGACCCCGCCCCGGGAGTCATTGATTTTTCCTATATGCATATAGTAACAACTTAAGAAATCTTCTTTTAAAGAACCAAAAGAGCTACAGCTAAGATATTTAGCATGAAACATGTTCTAATGGGTGTCTACCTAGTTTGTTCAAATAAAAACCCTGGGGTCAAAATTAGCCCCGCCCCGGGGGTTCGTTGATTTTCCCGATATGCATATAGTAAAAACTTAAAAGATCTTCTTTTAAAGAACTCGAAGAGCTATGGCTAAGATATTGAGCATCAAACATGTTCTAATAGGTGTCTACCAAGTTTGTTCAAATAAAAGCCCTGGGGTCAAAATTGGCCCCACCCCAGGGGGTCATTGATTTTCCCTATATGCATATAGTAAAAACTTAAAAAATCTTCTTTTAAAGAGCCAAAAGAGTTAAAGCTAATATATTTAGCATGAAACATGTTTTAATAAGTGTCTACCAAGTTTGTTCAAATAAAAATCCTGGGGTCAAAATTGGCCCCGCCCCGGGGGATCATTGATTTTCCCTATATGCATATATTAAAAACTTAAAAAATCTTCTTTTAAAGAACTCAAAGAGCTATGGCTAAGATATTTAGCATCAAACATGTTCTAATAGGTGTCTACCAAGTTTGTTCAAATAAAAGCCCTGGGGTCAAAATTGGCACCGCCCTGGGGGTCATTGATTTATATGTGTATAGCAAAAACTTAAAAAATCTTCTTTGAAAAAACCCAAATAGCTAGAGTTAAGATATTAAGCATGAAACATCTTTTAGTGAGTCACAGTCTACAAAGTTTGTTCAAATAAAAGACCTGGGGTCAAAATTGGCCCCGCCCCAGGGGTCATTGATTTTCTTTATATGTGTATAGCAAAAACTTAAAAATCTTCTTTGAAAAAACCCAAATAGCTAGAGTTTAGATATTAAGCATGAAACATCTTCTAGTAAGTGTCTACAAAGTTTGTTCAAATAAAAGCCCTGGGGTCAAAACTGGCCCGGCCCCAGGGGTGTCATTGTTTTTAACTATATGTGTATAGTAAAAACTTTAAAAAAATCTTCTTTCAAAAAGCCCAATGAGCTAGAGCTTAGATGTTTAGCATGAAACATCTTCTTACGGGTGTCTACCGAGTTTGTGCAAATAAAAGCCCTTGGGTTAAATTGGCCCTGCAACGTTGGGGGGCCTATATACAGGTGAGCGACCTCAGGGCCATCATGGCCCTCTTGTTTATTTTTCAAAATTAATTTTTGTCCAGAGCATAACTCAAAAGGCCTTTGAGATATCATTATGAAACTTCATAGGTGCATAGATCTAACCCAGGAGGTGTGCAGTGCACAAGAATGATAACTCTACCTTTTATAATTTTTGAGTTATTGCCCTTTGATATTTTTCATACTTAATTTTTCAATTCAATTTTTTTCTCAAAAAGTATTTGAGGTATCAACTTGAAACTTCATAGGTGGATAGATTTCACTGAGGAGGGATGCAGCAAACAAGAATGATAACCTACCCTGCATTATTTTTCAGTTATTGCCCTTTGTTATTTTCAGCCATCAGTATTCACATAGGTTTCAAATCTGTAATCACTATAGCCATCAGTTTTCATTACCAAAAGACCTCTTAAAATGGAATTATTCTGCTGTACTACATATACATTCTTCCAATGAGCAAACACATTCGGCGGGGATGGCCATGTTGACATGGCTCTTGTCTTTATATGTATATTGTAAAAACTTGTAAAATCATTTTTCACTGTTTTGACAAAGGCTAGAGGTTAGATATTTAGCATTGAACATTGTGTAGTAGACCTCTACCAAGATTGTTCAATTATAGTCTTGGGGTCAAAATTGACCCAGCCCCGGGGGTCATTGATTTTCATTATGTACGTAAAGTTAAAATTTAAAAAAACTTCTTTTCTGGAGATATAAGGCTTAGAGCTTTGATATTTGGCAAATGATATCATCTATATGTACTCTAATAAAGTTGTACAAAGTTTTTATCTAGTGTCAAAATCGGCCCCACCCGGGTGGGCCATAGGTTTCCAAATATGGAAAACCATTCTAGATACTACTGTTTCAGTTAAAATATCCTGTAAATTGGTGAAATGATTCAAAGGGCAGTTTCAAATATGGGTCATCTGGAGTCTAAAACTAGGTCACAGCCCAAATATGGAAAAACCTTTTGAACACTTTAGAGTCATATGTCCTAGAAATTGGTTAGAATGTTTTGTTAAGATGATTTCTAGCTCAAGTTTGAATATGGGTCATCTTGGGTCATAAAGTAGGTCATACAGCCCAAATATTGAAAAACCTTGTTAACACTTTAGAGGCTAGCTACTGTTTTGGTCCAAATATCCTGGAAATTGATCAGAAAAGTTGTTTATAGGATTTCTATCTCAAGTTCAAATATAGTTCATCTGTGATCAAAAACTAGGTTACCCAGCGATTCATGTGATTCATTTTCATGAATAGTTATTGCACGGTTTCAAATTGCCTGTGTTTTAAATAATTTATAGACAATTACTGTATCACTGAAAAGACAAATATAATTATGCAAACTGTAATGTGAAAATGTGACTGTTCTAGAAAAAGCCTATATGACTACATGTTTGTAATAATTGTTTTATTTATTTATTAATTTATTTTTTTGGTGAAATAAATTAATATTGAATAATTGATCAATAAAATAATCATCAAAAATATGATCATTAAATGATTCTGAGGGTAATATAGATTCTTTGAACTGATTGTGCCAAACACGCATTTAAATTTGAGTCGAAATTTGAGCCTCAAAATCCAGCTACTTATCCAGATTTGGCCACATTTCATTTGTCACATGTATGCACAGAACAAATATCGGAGAACCTTGTTAACTCTGTAGAGGATATTGTTTAGGTCCAAATGTTCTGGAAGTTAGTCAGGAAGGTTGGTAAGATAGTTTCTAGGTCATGTTTGAATATGGGTCATCTGTGGTTAAAAACTAGATTACACAACCTAAATTATGATAAATAATTGTTTACATTCTAGAGGTAATATTTTCATCCCAAACATCTGGAATATTTATTAGAAAGTTTGTTTTGATGCTTTCTTGCTTTGAACATGAATGTCATTCATGGTTAAAATCTAGTTCACACAGACCGAAAATTTGGCCTCAGGTCGGCCTTAAGGTAACATGTAACCAACGCTGAAAAAAGCCTTTGACTCTATCTCTATCCATTGAGAAGTTGCAGCACTTTGAAATCAGTTTTGATGGAAAAATCAATGCAATATAGTGATTTTTGGCAATTTTGAGATTTCCCCTCATTGCCATGGTAACAGGAAATTTAAGATTGAGTATGCGGTTACAAAGTCTATGGTCCAGTCAACATTTGTGCCAAGTTTGAACAGCATTGAAGTCTTTTTTTATAGTTTAATAGCAATTTGAACTTTTAACAGGAGGCTTTTCTATGAAAACAGCCATTTTGCACAAAATGCTGATGAAGTAATGGGTTAAACACTTGATTTTTTCTTGCATTCTTCAAAAATTGATATCAAATCAAGCAGATGCATAGTTCCGCAGTATGAATAAAGGTTTTCATTTTAAATCACTTTCACCTGTGCGTTGTGAAAGTTTGTATAACGCTAATGACGTCACGTCAAAATATATGCACGGCCTTGCAATACCATATTTACGGAGTCGCAAAATCGGCACGGGTGTGTGATAAATATTGTTATGGTAGATTTTATAGACATTTACCTTTATTTTTCAGATAAGATCTAATGTAGTACGAGAAACAGATCCAAAATTTTCAATACCTGTAGAAGAAAGAGGCTCTTTAAAAGATGCAGAAATCAATTATGTGTAAGCTCTTTTCATAAAATAGTGGGATTATTTTGCCCACTTGAGCTTCTGCTTCTTGTACAACTTCATACTTTATCCTTCAAAGAAGATATTTGACTGTAACTTCACAAATGTCTTTGAGATTATAATAGAAAATCACTATGTGAAGCCCGTGACTCTAGTGTGGATTTTGATAGAATAATGGCCCTTTATGAACTTGAAAAAATTCTTTGTTAAAGTTTTGGGTTGAAGATCAATAAAGTACTGGAGATATTTACTTGAAACTTACTAGTTATTACAGGTCTTTGACATCATAATTGGGGGTCACTGTTCAAGGTCAATATCTCTAGCATGGATTGATATTTATACCATATATAGATATATGAGAGTCACCAGGTGGTCGGTTGGTCGGTCGGTTGGTCAGTCCAGCGGTCCGTTGCATTTTCCTTGTCCAGAGCATAACTTGAAGACTAATAGTTGGAATTCAATACAACTTCATACAATGGTCAAGCACATTAAGATGAAGTGCAGTGCTCAAGAATCATAACTCTATCCAGAGTAATTATAGAGTGATTGCCCTTTGTTTCTTTTCCCTGTCGCAGAGCATATCATCAAATCTATTGGTTGGAATTCAATCATTTTAGTGTTATTGTCCTTTGTTACTTTTTATTGTCCAGTGCATAACTTGAGTAATTATAGAGTGATTGCCCTTTGTTACTTTTCCTTGTCGCAGAGCATAACATGAAATCTATTGGTTGGAATTCAATCATTAACCAGGTTTTCCGAAGGAAAAATCTGGTTATTAGATTGAGGTATGTCGGTGGTCGGACGGGCGGGCGTAAACAATTTCTTCTGTGCGCAGCGCAACTCCTCCTACATTTCTCAAAGGATTTTGACCAAACTTTTACAGAAGCTTTGTCATCAAGTGCCCTGGTGCATATTGTCAGGGTTATGTGATTGGATAATATTTGACCTAATTATGGCCCTTTGTTTTTTTCCCTTATAAAGAATATATAGTGAACAATTTCTTCTGTGCGCAACTTCTCCTACATTTCTCAAGGGATTTTGTTCAAACTTTCACAGAAGCTTTGTCATAAAGTGTCCTGATGCGATGCATACTGTTTGGATTTTGTGATTGGGCAATTTTTGACCTACTTATGGCCCTTTGTTTTTTTTCCTTATACAGAATATATAGTGAACAATTTCTTCTGTGCGCAACTCCTCCAGCATTTGTCAAGGGATTTTGTTCACACTTTCACAGAAGCTGTGTCATCTAGTGCCCTGATGCATATTGTTGGGTTTTTGTGATTAGATAATTTTTGACCTTATTATGGCCCTTTGTTTTTTTCCCTTATATAGAGTATATAGTGAACAATTTCTTCTGTTGCCCAACTGCTTCTACATTTCTCAAAGGATTTTGTTCAAATTTTCACAGATTAGCTTTATCTGTGTATTGTCAGGTTTTATGATTGGATAAGTTTTTACCTCTTATTATGGGCCTTTGTTTTTCCGTAAAATTTAATTATTAGTGTAATATATCCTTTTTATCACAACAAACTTTATTTAGTTATAAAACAGAAACTATCTAGGTTGTTGCATGCCTGCCAGCTCATCTGCCTGCTTTTGGGTCCTGTAGAGTCAAGGTCATTGTTGCTTAAAATAGAAAATCTGTTTCCTGTCAGGTCACTGTTACTTAAAATAGAAAATAGGTTTCTGGTCAATAACTAGTTTGGAATAAGATGTTTTTATGAAATTTGGTGTAAAGCAGGTTTTTATAAAGACCTCACTGGGGATGGCTTTTTGGCCTCCTAGGGTCAAGGTTACAGTTTCTAAAAATAGAAAATTCATTATTCATGATTTACATTGCACATAGTTACATTGTTTGTTGCTTGTATTTGTATTTCAACTACAACATATTTATCTAAAATGGTGATAATTGAAAATCTGGTTTCGTGGCATTGCCATGTTTCTTGTTTTAGTGTTATTGTCCTTTGTTACTTTTTATTGTCCAGTGCATAACTGAGTAATTATAGAGTGATTGCCCTTTGTTACTTTTCCTTGTCGCAGAGCATAACATGAAATCTATTGGTTGGAATTCAATCATTTGAGTGTTATTGTCCTTTGTTACTTTTTATTGTCCAGTGCATAACTTGCAAATTAATGGTTGGAATTCAATGCAACTTCATACAATGGTCAAGCACAGTGAAATGAAATGCTGTGCTCAAGAACCATAAGTCTATTTGCACTGATTACATAGTTAATTCCCTTTGTTACTTCTTTGTCAGCCTATAAGGTGTATAGATGCTCATGCCAAGGAAGACACATTTTTTCTTCTTGTGCATGATGATGGATTGATAGACCTTTTTGAGAGAGTTATCCCTAATTTTTATTGTAGTCCTTTGTTTTAATATTAAGTTATTAATTATCAAAATTCCTTATTCATACAAATAAATAACTTAATATTGAATATTGTAAATTTGAATATAGAAATCAACTCCAGTTTCAATTTAAAAATGTATTTTTTCTTATTTGAAATATCAAATTTTGTTGTCACCACTGATTAACATAAACAGAAATGAAATGCATTAAAAATCTACAACACATGGTGATGGTAACAAAATTACAAATTGCTGAAAGTATTTGACTTCTAAAATTCTTGCTTGCATGTCAACCTTACATATGTGGAGTTTATAATGGTTTTAAATTTCCATATAATTTTTTTTTCAGAAAAAAGTTTCAAAGTTTTCAAGATAGACATTTAAAGATTAGCAGTGAAGATAAGTCAAACCTAAAGAAAGCTAGACGTGATGGCACTTTACATGAAAGCATGCTTGACAGGTATTGTTTTAATAAAACACATTAATAATTGTTTGCTGTGTGTTGTATGTTCAAGTTTATAGTCCTCGTACTGGTTTAAGTGGAGGGGACTTCAGGTTTACTCTCTGTCTGTCTGTACAGCCGTCTGTCCAAAGACTCTGAATTCAGTCATATCTAAATCTATATCTTATACAGGTTGATGATATTTGGTTTGTAGATATAGGGCCATATGAATATTATGCATGGCATTATATATTTTTCATTGTGGTTGCTATGGTTATAGAAATGATGTAAAACAATGAAACCTAAAAAAAACTGAATCTTGTGATATTTAAAAAAGTACAAAAGAAAGATTGAGGAAAGTTGATGTGTGGATAGAGGGCCATGTAGTGATTATGCAGTTAGAAAACCTTTTCTGGTCCATAACATTGAGCCTGCCATAACTCAAAAAGTTCAAAAGCTAGGTGATGTTACTTTGCTTGCGATTATGTATCACATACCTTAATGTTTTCATCAGTGAAAACGATTGCAATCCTTTTTTAGCTCACCTTGCACAAAGTGCAGGTGAGCTTTTAGGATGGCCAACCAAATGGCGTCAGTCGTCTGTCGTCCGTCCACATTTTATTCTAAGGACATTTTCTATGATACCCCAAGGCCAATGTTAATGAAACTTGGCAGGAATACTCTTTGTATGAAGCTCTATCAAGATTGTTCAAAGAATTCCATTTCATGCAGAACTCTGGTTGCCATGGCAACCAAAAGAAAAATCTTTAAATATCTTCTTTTAAAGAACCGTAAGAGCTAGAGCTTAGATATTTGGCATGAAACATCTTCTAATGAGTGTCTACCAAGTTTGTTCAAATAAAAGCCTTAGGGTCAAAATTGGCCCCGCCCCAGGGGGTTATTGATTTTCCCTATATGCATATAGTAAAAACTTAAAAAATCTTCTTTTAAAGAACCCAAAGAGCTAGAGCTAAGATATTTGGCATGAAACATCTTCTAGTGAGTGTCTACCAAGTTTGTTCAAATAAAAGCCCTGGGGTCAAAATTGGCCCCGGCCCGGGGGGTCATTGATTTTCCCTATATGCATATAGTAAAAACTTAAAAAATCTTTTTTTAAAAACTGTAAGAGCTAGAGCTTAGATATTTGGCATGAAACATCTTCTAGTGAATGTCTACCAAGTTTGTTCAAATAAAAGCCCTCGGGTCAAAATTGGTCCCGCCCCAGGGGGTCATTGATTTTCCCTATATGCATATAGTAAAAACTTAAAAAATCTTCTTTTAAAGAACCCAAAGAGCTAGAGCTAAGATATTTAGCATGAAACATCTTCTAATGAGTGTCTACCAAGTTTGTTCAAATAAAAGCCCTGAGGTCAAAATTAGCCCTGCCCCAGGGGGTCATAGATATTCCCTATATGCATATAGTAAAAACTTAAAAAATCTTCTTTTAAAGAACCCAAAGAGCTAGAGCTAAGATATTTGACATGAAATATCTTCTAGTGAGTGTCTACCAAGTTTGTTCAAATAAAAGCCTTTGGGTCAAAATTGGCCCCGCCCCGGGGGGTCATTGATTTTCCCTATATGCATATAGTAAAAACTTAAAAATCTTCTTTTAAAGAACCGTAAGAGCTAGAGCTTAGATATTTGGCATGAAACATCTTCTATTGAATGTCTACCAAGTTTGTTCAAATAAAAGCCCTGGGGTCAAAATTGGCCCCGTCCCAGGGGGTCATAGATTTTCCCTATATGCATATAGTAAAAACTTAAAAAATCTTCTTTTAAAGAACCCAAAGAGCTAGTGCTAAGATATTTGACATGAAACATCTTCTGATGGGTGTCTACCAAGTTTGTTCAAATAAAAGCCCTCGGGTCAAAATTGGCCCCGCCCCAGGGGGTCATTGATTTTCCCTATATGCATATAGTAAAAACTTAAAAAATCTTCTTTTAAAGAACTCAAAGAGCTAGAGCTAAGATATTTAGCATGAAACATGTTCTAATGGGTGTCTACCAAGTATGTTCAAATAAAAGCCCTGGGGTCAAAACTGGCCCTGCCCCGGGGGTCATTGATTTTCCTTATATGTGTATAGCAAAAACTTAAAAATCTTCTTTGAAAAAACCCAAATAGCTTGAGTTTAGATATTATACATGAAACATCTTTAAGTAAATATCTACAAAGTTTGATTCAAATAAAAGACCGGGGGTCAAAACTGGCCCTGCCCCAGGGGTGTCATTGTTTTTAACTATATGTGTATAGTAAAAACTTAAAAATCTTCTTTTAAAAAACCCAATGAGCTAGAACTTAGATGTTTAGCATGAAACATCTTCTTATGGGTGTCTACCAAGTCTGTTCAAATAAAAGCCCTTGGGTAAAAATTGGCCCGGGGGGGGTGGGGGGGTTGGCTATATACAGGTGAGCGACCTCAGGGCCATCATGGCCCTCTTGTTTGAGTTATGTCCCTTTTTATAAAATTTACTCAGAATTTTTGTTAAAATATGAAAGAAATTGACTCATTCTTGGCATACTTTAAATTGGAAAAAGAGTTATTGCCCCCTTTCACAATGAAAATAATTTATTTTTTAGCTCACCTAAGGACAATGTCCTCAAGGTGAGCTTTTGTGATGGCCCGTTGTCTGTCGTCCATCGTCCGTCCGTCTGTGCATGCGTCCGTCTGTCAACAATTTCTTTACATAACTTCTCCTCCTTAACCACTTGGCCAAATTTGTTGAAACTTTGCAGGGATGTTCCTTGCATAAAGCTCTACCAAAGTTATTCAAAGAATTAAATTCCATAAAGAACTCTGGTCGCCATGGCAACCAAAAATTTTTTTTTTACAAAACTCTTAAAAAATCTTCTTGTAAAAAAAACACACGAGCTAGAGCTAAGATATTTGGCATGAAACATCTTCTAGTGAAGCCTACCAAGTTTCTTCAAATAAAAGCCCTAGGGTCAAAATTGGCCCCGCCCCGAGGGTCATTTTCCTAATTTGTATATAGTGAAAATTAGAAAAAAATATTTTTTGTAAAAAACCGTAAGAGCTAAAGCTTAGATATTTGGCATGAAACATCTTCTAGTGAATGTCTACCAAGTTTATTCAAATAAAAGCCCTAGGGTCAAAATTTGCCCTGCCCCGGGGGTTATTGATTTGCCTTACATGTATACATGAAAACTTGTGAACATCCAAAAGAGGTAGAGCTTAGACATTAGGCATGAAACGTCTTCTTGTGTATGTCTAACAAGTTTGTTCAAATAAAAGCCCTAGGGTCGAAATTGGCCCTGCCCCGGGGGTCATTTACCCTTTCTGAAAATCCAAAAGCACTAAAGCTAAGATATTTGGCATGAAACATCTTCTAGTGAATTATTATTGTTGAAATAAAGCCCTAGGGTCAAAATTAACCTGGCCCAAGGGAATAGAAGTCGACAGTTCAATCCCAAGCCAGGTCAATGTTTTCCTTTTCTTTTTGTCATCTTTTTATTAGCTCACCTCTCACTTAGTGACATGCTGAAGTATTTAATTACATGGCGGCCACAGCTAAAGTTAGAAAACAACATCTAAACTACTGGTTCAATTTTGAAATAAATTTACCCAAAAATTTCCATGGTGACAATACACAAAATTGCTCAGATTAAACTGTCCCTTGTTTTCAAATTGTGTTTCGTGGGCTAAACGGGGCTCCAGTTTGACCTTTAGACCTATTTCTCAGGTGAGCGATCCAGGGCCCTCTGGGCCCTCTTGTTTAAGAAATACCAGTATGCCTAGCAATTTACAATACAAGCAATATAGCATGTGTTGAGTTATTTGCATGCAAATTTTCATCTAAACCTGTAAAAATTGTCACATAATTATGCCTGCCTCAGACAGATGATATCATTATGAAGGCGGGCTATTACTATGGTATACAGATACAAGGGTTGTACATATGCCACAAAGACCACTAGCTCTAAGGTCAAGGAAATAATGAGAGGTTAAAGTTCAGCGGTGGCCCATAACCCTGTCATACATCAAGGAACTACCTAGTAACTTAGTACAAATGTGTAGCATGGCATCTTTGTTCACATTATTTGACTTTTTCAAACTCAAAAGTGGGCTCACCTGTATCTTTGAGACACATTTCTAGTAAAGGGAAACTGTAATACAAACAAGTAAAGGGAAACTGTAATAGTTTACAAGACTTGTATAAAAATGGCATACATGTACTTATATTTAATGTGAGAAATTAATGATATCATCTTTTTTTTTATCTTTTTTTTTTCAGACGAGAAAAGATGAAAGCAGACAGATACTGTAAATAACACCTGTATGTTCCAACACCTTTGTGTACTGAATATTTCTGTCTATTCGGTAGAAATATTTAAGAAGATATATGGGCCTATATGGTTGCAAATTGCCAGTAAAACATACATAATCCAATGTTTTACTATTGTTATTAAAGTAACACAAGACCAGACAGATTAAAGCATGTGATGGATCTTTGTAAAACATACATGTACACAGTAAAGAGTGATGTAGATGTATAAATAAGAGGAAGCGGATAATTGTTTTGATGTTTCCAGATCCATCTTTTCTACAAGCTTGGATGTGGCTTTTTTTAACTAAACATATTTTGTTATCATTATATGATTATTTATAAAAAAAATGAACTTTAATGATTAGCAGGTAGTAGACTAAAATCAATAAGTTATTATAGAAACATAGTTATTATCGAAACATAGTTATTTTTTGTAAAATTGTAAAAAAATGATTATATTGATGCCAATAAACTTATCAAGAAATATTTTGATAAACAAGATGTACAATGTATTTGAAAATGCTACAGATTGTATATGAACTCCTAAGCATTGTCGCAATTTGTATAATTTTAATGAATTTCTTCATTAAAATATGTAAAAAATGTATAAAGCTTGATTTTGTGTAGTGTTTACATAAGGAAAAATAGGCCTAATACCATAGTATGAAAAGTTTACCTTTCAACATAAAAGAAATATACATTTTAAGGCTTAGTGGCCTTAAAGAAGTTGCATTTTTGATGTCCCCACTATTTAGATTTACCTTTGTCCGTCACACTTCCCATCCGTAGACTGACAAAACAGTGGAATGTGAGGACATACATTGTCAGGAGAATGACTGCCTTGATGTTATTTAATCTAAAGAAAGATTTAGAAATAAAAACTAAAATCAATTTCCAAGATATTGAGGCTCGGCAGCACCGCCTGACTTAAAATTGAAATATTCTCAGTTGGAAAACTATCATGTAATTGTTTAGTTAACACTGTTGTTTCGGTGTTTTTATCTTTTTCTATATCAAATCCATATATGCATGTAAACAACTAACTCTCAGTATTATTTACAACCAAAACAAACAACTCTGATCATTATTTACACCCAATAAAATATGATTAACAAGATCAACAAGTAAAGGCAGCGTTCAATAAACCCAAAACAAACACACGTCATATATCAACCACTGATACGAAATATCTTTTCACGTATATGTCCTTTATACAAAACAATACAAGACACCTGATCAAGATCTAAAAACATTTGATCAAACAAAATAGTAAAATCGACATAAAAATGAAGAACACAGTTTACTTGTAATATTTTTACAACTATTAGATACGGTATAAACCACAAAAATTCAACCAACAATATTAACTTCACAAAATCTAATCAGCATCAGGAAAACATCTTAAACTAAAGCACCCAATATTTACAGATATCGGCAAAAAACAAAGCATCAACTAATTTAACCATGACAAGACAAAATCACTCCATACAATTTAACCAATATCAACCAAGTATATCTTACCAAACAGATATAACTCAACAAAATAAAATACAACAACCAAAACAACAAATTACACCCGATTAATCATGATCAATTAAGATTACCACAATTAGATTCAACCAACTTCAACAAATCAACAAAACTCCCTTCAAAACAACAATTTTCTCTTCTCTAAAAGGGGCGTCCGTAGCCGAGTGGTTAAGGTCGTTGACTTCAAACCACTTGCCCCTTACCGCTGTGGGTTTGAATCCCTACAGGGACTTTGGATTCTTTCATGTGAGCAAGCTATCCAGCTAGCTTACGGAACGTTGGTGGTTCTACTCAGGTTCCCGTACTTGCCTGAAATAATGCACGGAAGGGCACCTGAGGTCTTCCTCCGCAAATAAAGCTGGAACTTCACCATATGACCTATAATGTGTTGGTGTGACGTAAAACCCAATCAAACAAACAAACTTCTTTAAAAAAATAAACGCTACACACTATAAGTGGGTGTAAATTTCTCCCAAAACTCGCATATTTGCTATTTGACATTTACATGTAGACAACGTTTATTGAAATATGATACACTTCAGTGTATCGCTATAGAAAGACATTAACTCGTTGTAAAAAAATATCTACAGTAAAACTGTACGATTACAAGTACATATGTTGCTGCAATGCAGCAATTGAGAAGTCCCGCGCAAAAAATGCGCTCATTTCAGATACCTTACCAAATTATTCCTACGCACAGGTCATGTTATATTCAGATTAAGTACTATTGTAGATTTTTTCCGAATATTTTGTGAACCATTTTTTGCATAATTATACTTATCTTATGCACTGTCCATAATTAAAAAGAGGGGAAAGATATTTAATATAAAAATGCTTTCACTGATGCCTACCTGGTAAGGAAAGTAATTCCATTGAATACAAACAAGACTTACAAGACTTGTAAATGTTATGTGACATGAATGTACTATGTTCTGTTTTTGTCACTACTGTAGTCAGAAACATAAGATGATAAAAATATCAAAGTCTGTTTTTTAGCTCGACTATACGAAGTATATGGAGAGCTGTCCTACTCGCCCCGGCGTCGGCGTCCGCGTCCGCGTCCAGATTTTAGATTAAAGTTTTGGTGCAGTAAAATATTTTTCACTATAACTTTGTCATTTCTTAAGGTATCAACTTCAAACTTCAAATATATGTTCCTTATCATCAACCACAGCTTACGTGACAAGGTTCATAACTCTAGCACCAATATTTTCAGATTTATCTCCCCTTGAACTTAGAATTTTCCTTAAAAAATACTATTTTTTACTGTTACTTCTTTATTTCTTAAGGGATCAACCTCATACTTCAAATATATGTACCTTATCAACATTCTCATCTTATGGGACAAGGTTCATAACTCTAGCACCAATATTTTCAGATTTATCTCCCCTTGAACTTAGAATTTTCCTCAAAAAATGCTATTTTCTTACAGTGTTACTTCTTTATTTCTTAAGGGATCAACCTCATACTTCAAATATATTTACGTTATCATCATCCCCATCTTATGTGACAAGGTTTCATAACTCTAGCACCAATATTTTTCAGATTTATCTCCCTTTGAACTTAGAATTTTCCATAAAAAATATTATTTTTTACTGTTACTTATTTATTTCTAAAGGGATCAACTTCATACTTCAAATATATTTACGTTATCATCATCCACATCTTATGTGACAAGGGTCATAACTCTAGCACCAATATTGCAAGAATTATCTCCCCATAAACTTATATTTTTTTACTAGAAAAATGTTATTTTTTATTATAACTTTTTTATTTTTAAAGGTATCTACCTCAAACTTCAAATACTTATTCCTTATTCATCAATTACATTTTATGTGACAATGTTCATAACTCTTGAAGCAATATTTACAGATTTATCTCTCTTTGAACTTAGGATTTTCTTTAAGAAATATATAATAACTTCTTTACTTTTTAAGGTATCTACTTCAAACTTCAAACATATATTTCTTATCATTACACAAATGTTGTGTGACAAGGTCCATAACTCTAGCATGACTATTTCTAGAATTATTCCCCTTGATCTTGGAATTTATGTTAACAAATGTTATTTTTTACTATAACTTAATACATTATTATACATAATTGATTTTTCTTTCATAGTTTTGTCCTCCTTACTGCGTCCAGTATTTTATTAGTCGAGCTTCGCTGTCTCCTGTGACAGCTCTTGTTTTATTATGCCCCCATTTCGAAGAAAAGGGGGTATATTGCTTTGCACTTGTCGGTCCGTCGGTCTGTCGGTCCGTAGACCAAATGGTTTCCGAGTGATAACTAAAGAACCCTTAGGCCTAGGAACTTCAAACTTGGTATGGTGATTGGTCATGACCAGTAGATGACCCCTATTGATTTTGGGGTCAAAGGTCAAGGTCACATTGACCTTGTAAGCAAAAACGGTTTCCGATCAATAACTAAAGAACCTTAAGGCCTAGGAACTTCAAACTTGGTATGGTGATTGGTCATGATCAGTAGATGACCCCTATTGATTTTGGGGTCAAGGGGCCAAAGGTCAAGGTCACATTGACCTTGTAAGCAAAAACGGTTTCCGATCAATAACTAAAGAACCTTAAGTCATAGGAACTTCAAACTTGGTATGGTGATTGGTCATGATCAGTAGATGACTCCTATTGATTTTGGGGTCAAGAGGTCAAAGGTCAAGGTCACATTGACCTCTTGGGTAAAAAGGTTTCCGATCAATAACAAAAGAACCATTAGGCGTAGGGACTTCAAACTTGATATGGTGATTGGTCATGATCAGTAGATGACCCCTATTGATTTTGGGGTCAAGGGGTCAAAGGTCAAGGTCACATTGGCTTCTTAGGTAAAAACGGTTTCTGATCAATAACTAAAGAACCCTTAGGCTTAGGAACTTCAAACTTAGTATGGTGATTGGTCATGCCCAGCAAATGACCCCTATTGATTTTGGGGTTAAAGGGTCAAAGATCAAGGTCACATTGACCTTGTAGGTAAAAACGGTTTCCGATCAATAACTAAAGAACCCTTAGGCCTAGGAACTTCAAACTTGGTATGGTGATTGGTCATGAGTAGCAGATGACCTGTTGATTTTGGGGTCAAGGGGTCAAAGGTCAAGGTCACATTGACCTTGTAAGTAAAAACGGTTTCCGATCAATTAACTAAAAACGCTTAGGCCTAGGAACTTCAAACTTTGTATGATGATTGGTCGTGACCAGCAGATGACCCCTTTTGAGTTTTTGGTCAAGGGGTCAAAGGTCAAGGTCACATTGACCTTGTAGGTAAAAACGGTTTTCTGATCAATTAACTAAAAACGCTTAGGCCTAGGAACTTCAAACTTTGTATGATGATTGGTCGTGACCAGCAGATGACCCCTATTGATTTTTGGGTCAAGGGGTCAAAGGTCAAGGTCACATTGACCTTGTAAGTAAAAACGGTTTCTGATCAATAACTAAAGAACGCTTGGCCTAGGAACTTCAAACTTGGCATGGTGATTGGTCATGACCAGCAGATGACCCCTATTGATTTTTGGGTCAAAGGTCAAGGTCACATTGACCCTGTATGTTAAAACGGTTTCCGATCAATAATGAAAGAACCCTTAGGCCTAGGAACTTCAAACTTGGCATGGTGATTGGTCATGACCAGCAGATGACCCCTATTGATTTTGGGGTCAAGGGGTCAAAGGTCAAGGTCACATTGACCTTGTAGGTAAAAACGGTTTCTAATCAATTAACTCAAAACGCTTAGGCCTAGGAACTTCAAACTTTGTATGATGATTGGTCGTGACCAGCAGATGACCCCTATTGAGTTTTGGGTCAAGGGGTCAAAGGTCAAGGTCATGACCAGTAGATACTTGATAACCCTTATTAATTGTTTGATCACTGGGTCAGAAGTCATGCATAATAACCTTATCACATGACTAATTGGCTGCTGATAGGGGGCATACATGTTTTACAAACATATCTTGTTATTATAATTGTAACAAATATACAAATAGTAACAAAATAATAATATTGTATAAATAACACATGGGTTTGTGGGTAACAGTAAAAATATCATCCCGAGGAAAATACTGTTACCCGAGGCGTTACCC